TAGTCTGGTCCAGCCGGGCAAATCCATATTTGGCCCCAACAATCAGCTGATTGGACCTTTTGGCAATATTAGCGGTCACACTAAAAGTCCACGTGGTTTTTCCCGTCAGCAACAATTCCTTTAATGTTTTCCCATGGGCACGGTTGGGAACCCACCCAACAGAGGCATCGGTCTCAATGACTTTCAAGGACTCAGGGCCCTTTGCCAAATCAAGTCGATAGAGTTTGTGGTCCCAGATATCAACGAAGCGGAACTCATTGTTCGCCACATCGTGAAAGGGGCCTTCGAGCAGTGTTCCTGGGATGTCAAGGTAGGGCTAATTAAGTTAGCGGTCTGTGATTGGCGTGTATTTCTTTTTCTTTTTTCCTTTTCCTGTGCTGTGACAGGCTAAGGAGAATAATCGTCACGTCTGACCGACACGAAAGCAGGGGAGAAAAAAAAAGAAATAAACAAAAGACCAAGCGAATCAGGTAACGGCGAATAGCATGGAATAACCGACCTCATTGACCGTCCACCTCTGAATTTCAGACATGCCGATCGGTGACAGAGTGGACACCGCTATTTGGGAATTGAGAAGAGGGGTGAGAGATGTTAGGCTCGCATAAAACGGTTTACTTGTGTTCAAGTGCAATTCAAGTGGGCGACCGCAGAAATAGTCAAGGCAAATCGTCGGAGTCACTCGTACTCCGTCAGTCTGTATACTGTCCACATATATATAGTGAAGAGGGAATAGGAAGGAGACCAAAGATGAGAAGTGGGATATGCCAAGCCACCCCCACGAGGGCTTACTTTCCACTTTGGCTGGGGTACTTTACTAATTACCAGCAACGTGTCCACTAGTTAACTAACTACTCCATCTGTATCTGCGTAATCTTGAAGACGTCCTTTTTTTCTTTTCTTTTTCACGAACTCGTAGGACAAGAACTGCAGGGATTCCAGGTCCATTCGGCAATCGAATTATGAAAAAACCCTCCAATTGCACGCACCATTGAATCTTCTGCAGGAATCCTGTCTCTGCAATGCGAATCATCACACAGTCAACTCTGAAATACTCATGAACTACGGAGTCCTCCGTACTATGCGTAAACTTTCTAGTCTGCATCAATTCGTGCAGCTAGCCCAAACTACACACACACACACACACATATATATATATATATATATATATATAGAGTTTAGGGGTCGAAAATCAAATTCAATAATTATAGCAGACAAAGAAGTGTACCTTCACAAAGTACCGTCAGATCACCTTTCAGACCAGGGCCAGGTGGCTTTTCACATGACCGACTGTGCATGCAGATGCAAGAGATTCCTGCATGTGTGTGCTGGTGGGCGCTAAGACACAGAACCTGGAACCTAGACTTACTCTTGACTACCAATCCCGGGGTTCGCAGGGTAATCCGACTGTTCCTGCCTGACTCGAAAATTGGGCCCCAATACCGAGTTCCAAAAAGAAAGACATGCATGTCTGCGAGAATGTGCCTGCAGCCTACTTGTATCACCTTGATTAAGGGCGTGATGGATCATGCAAATCCATCCTTGGATAGATGGGAAGTGGAAATTGGATTATGCTGGATTCATCCTTTTTAATATGAGATTGATGCTCAGATCGAGGAAGAGATGGTATCCATGGATAGCAGAAAGGGTGTATAATAGAAATAAAAGCCAGGGCAGGGTCTGAAACTATAAGGCCTAATTAACGTTAACGTATTCGGTAAGCGAGCGGGACACCCAACCAAAACGCGTCCATAAATTAGATCTTAGTTAGTTCAACCACCCACCATGCCACCAATCCGCTCCCGAAGCTCTGCAAGTTTAGCGGCGCAAGAGGGTAAGATCTTATTAGCTATCCAGGCTTTTAAGAATAAAGATATCTCTTCAATTCGTGAAGCGGCACGCCGATTTAACGGTCCAAATTCAACGCTCTCTACACGCCTCCACGGTGTCAAACACCGTGCGATTTCTCGCGCCAATTCGCATAAACTTACAGATATTGAAGAGGAATCTCTCCAAAAATGGATCCTCTCTATGGATTCTCGCGGAGCAGCCCCCCGGCCCTCTGCCGTACGAGAAATGGCGAACCTTCTTCTTGAAAAGCGCGGAACCACCCCAGTTATCTCGGTCGGCGGAAAATGGGTTTATAATTTGTTAAACGGCGTCCTCTTCTCTCCTCTCGATTCTCAAATCGATATAATTACGATCGTGCGAAATGCGAAGACCCGAAAATCATTAGCGAGCGGTTTAATCTGGTTAAAGAAACATCGACCCTAACAACGTTTATAACTTTAACGAGACCGGTTCGCGATAGGATCAATTACAACTACGAAGGTTATTACAAGAAGTGAATACTACGGCGATCCCTTTTACAACCTGGAACAAGGAAGTACGCGCCGCCAACGAGAAGCAGAAGCAAAAGCGTACTAGATCCCGAAGGCAGATACCTGCCGAAGAGGGACTCTCAGTTCAAGAAGCGTCTGCATTAATTATGCAGCCGGTGGAAGCAATAGAAGCACCTATACCCCCACCACGAAGAAGGCCTTAGCCACCTTTACAGCCAAGAACTAGGGCTTTGGCAACATGCGGGCTATGTAAAAATCAGGGCCATAGAAGAGATGCATGTCCAGATAGATGATGAATTTAGTTTATTAAATTTAATGGCGTTTTTTGTTGAGATAAATGCATTTAAATTCAGTAGGTTTGGTTGGGTGTCCAGCTCGCTTACCGAATACGTTAGCCCAAGGGAGGTATATATACTCCGTATCAATCTCCTATTTTTATACGCTCTGATTTGCATTAGGCAGTGATGCGGTGGCATCGACATACATCATCTTCTATTCATAGCATAATAATTTCGGAACACGCCTTGAGTTATTATATTTTGACTTCGTCTAAAGATTCTCGCAATGGAGAAACATGGCCATCCCTTGTATACCCTCTGTAGCTTTTATCAGTCGGTGTATTGGCATTTTCTTAAGGAGACCATAGGGGCAGCTCCAGATGACACAGACCCTCATGGAGTCCAAAAGTCCCAAGCATGGCCCAAAACGGTTCCTTGGAATATTCGTATGCTGACACGATGAAGAAAGGTTAGAGATGATTTCATCTCACGAGAAGTAGATCATAGAGGAATAAGGATAGAATGGCAGAGGAATGGTGGCATATATGTTGTTACTGAAGTGAGGGCAGCAGTAATTAGATCATGCAAACTTACCAGTATCAAACTTGAGGCTATTCCCACATTTTATCTTTAAAAGATCGTCCATATATTCTCGCCCACTCTCCTTCTATGAACCAGCCTTATACATCCGCCGTTGATATATCCGCAGTCTCATTGGCACACATCACCTGACTTCAACCCGTGTCAGAATTCATGTTCAAAGCAACAAAGGCGAGTCTCATGGAGGCCGAGATGAACATATCGCTGACTTTTCGACAGAGATGGAATTGAGACACCAACCCGATCTCATCTTACCACACGATGTTCCGGTTGCAGAAGATCCTGTTTACGGCACAGATGTTGAGTGATCGTCTGCCTTTTGGGCCAACAGGGCCATGGCGTGTATATGGCGACGTGCAGAGAAACCGGCCAAGAACCCAGCAAGCCTCATGTACCGCTTCCGCGAGATGAATTTGAGAAGAGAGCCAATATTGCGTTTACCAAACAAAGAAGGCAATCGCCATATCGTGAATGTGGGACAATTTGATTTTCAGGTTGCATACATGCACGTAAATGTCCTGCCACACGCCGTTGGAGAGAAAACGAAGTCCGGTCAAGAGTTCCAAAATTGCAGAAAGGAGGACGGGAAGTTCATACTCTACGTCCTGGTGCCGGGTCAGAAGCACTGTACAAACTGCCACTGGCTTGAACAAAAATCCCGATGCAGGTTTTCGAAAAGCCCGCGAACCGTTGAAACGACACTACGGGAAAAGCCGAAGGCACTGCGATGGCTCGTCAAGACCATGAAGAAAGAGCGGAAATTAATCAAGGCCAGCATCAAGAGCCTTGGACGCGAGGAGGAGAAGAACTTGATCCGCAAGATGAAGAAGGCAGAGTGGGACCAAGAAGGCAAGGTGGTTTTCCAGATGCGTGTCTATTTGCAAATCGATAGTACTTCTACTTGTCGCCCACGTATGTATCCATCCATAGATGTTATGATTGGTAAAACAAGGGTATTGATAGGACCTTTTGAAAAAGAAAAGCTAAAAAAAGAGAAGACGAGAAACTAACGACGAAGCGAAGAACGGTCTCATAACGTCCGCTGATCGGAAAATTCGTAGAGGGAGTTAGAGAAAGCTGCCCATGTAGAGCCATGGGTCGGACAGTCGCTCAGTTGCGTGGAGGGGTAACATTGAAGAGTGCTCTGAAAAATAGAGGCAGCATAGTCATATCTCATAAAGGGGCGTCAGACATGAGATCAATAAATCATGAGAACCAAACGCAAAGCAGTATCGAAAGCAAATCCCAGGAAACTCGCAAAAAAAGAGTTAGAAAGATTCTCAGGAAGATAAAGAACTAGGGGTGCAGAACAAAGACACCCATGCCCCCAGCATTGCTCGACACATCCCTCGAATCAGAACAACAAGTCTGCTATCTCTTCGAATTCTTGCGGCCCTATCACAATGTCCCCCTCTCCTGGACCTGGGGGACGATCTTGGATTGCAATGAACGGGAGGACCATAGGAGACCCATCTATAACATTCGGCATTCCCGCAACGAAGTTTCTGATGATATCAACTTGATTGGCACAGTAGACTTGCTGAAGTTGTGCCGGCTGTCCGGTTAGCGGTGGAATATTAGGGGTTTGTGCGCAGAGGGTCTCGATGTATCTCTTGGTTAGCGGGCGGGGTGCAGTACTCGGGGCCAACTGCCACTGCCCGAAGGACACGATATTATCTTTCACATGGATAAGGATGACGATCCGGACGTCACCCTCGGAATCCGCGAACCATTTGCGTGCATTCTGACGAAGTCGGCCAAGCGATTCCGACACGCCTGTTTCGATGACAAGTGATGGGTAGCCTGCGTTTTCAATGGGTCGTGCGTGACGAGAGGGGGGCGGATAGGCATCGTCAGCTTCTTTTCCCTTGCTTGTTCCAGAGCGGTAGGTTGTAGATCGGACCCAAATCACCTCTTTACGGGGGAGGCCCATGGCCCTAAGTTCATCGCGAACTACCGCAACGATCTGACTTGTAACGATCTCATGCTGTCCTTTGGGGACGACCTTGATGAGGCCAGTTGTGCCCTCCCACTGGAATCGATAGGTGACACCGTTGAGTGCGTCGCGGTCGGTTGTGAGGGTTTCAATTATTGGTGTTGACAAACCAAGCACCACAATCCACTGATTGCCATCGGTATGCTCCTCAAACCATTCGGCGATCCGGCGCGCTTCTTGCCGTAGTGTTCTCAGTCGCGAAAACGAAACCACGTGCCCTTCGGGCAAGTCAGACATGAGTGTTGGAGCGGGATCTGACATTGTCGATGAAATTTCATTCCGAGAAACTTGGTTCCGTCTATAAGATAGCGCAGATCCGACGAATCAGTAGATTCATGATCTCCGATAATGGGCGACGTAGCGGAAATGAAGAGGGTGATGCAAGGTGATGTAATATGGTTAACGTAAATGTGAAAGGTTCTCAAAAATCAAGGACTCTGACGATGTTAATTGGATGTCTGCGATGGTGGGGTACTGCGGGACGGGCCGAGGCACCCCTTGACGCGTCACGTGTCGCCGACTCAAACAGAGTACTGGTCTCTATGGACGATGGTGGCAGACATGGAATTCGCACGGGTAACCTTTGGGCCCTCCTTGACACACGAGCGACTGATAGAGATTCCGGTTCGAGAGCTTAAATAGAATCGCCGATCCGAGGGGACAGGAAAAGTCAAGTAGACTACGGCCTGGTTGAACATTGTCTTACTTGCTCTATTTTCTCCTTGATGGTTGCGACATTTTCTATTCATAGGGCTTTGCCTGTTCGGCCTGCCCTTGATGACTGTGTTATAGAAGAGCAAATACATATGCAATGCCTTTGTGGATTTGCAGAGATTTGACAAGCAAGGAAGGTCCAGTAATTATAATAACAGGTCAACTTAGGTTACACCGAGGGACCACACATTTTTGTCCGTAAATAAACAGCTTACAACTTGGTCCCCATGTTGACATGGACGGCCTTAACTTGCGAGTACGCGTCCAAGCCAGCTTCGCCGAGCTCGCGGCCGATACCGCTCTGCTTGACACCACCGAACGGCACACGGAAGTCACTGTCATTGCTGCTGTTGATCCAGACCATGCCGGCCTCGATATCGGAGGCAACACGGTGGGCACGCTCAATGTCCCGAGTGAAGACTGCGGCGCCGAGGCCGTACGTGGTGTCGTTAGCACGGGTGACGGCCTCATCCTCGGTGGTGAAGCTGGCGATGGCAACGAAGGGGCCGAACACCTCCTCGCGGTAGATCCGCATTGAGTCCTTGACGTTGGTGAAGATGGTGGGCTCGATGAAGAAACCACGGCCATCACCAACGTTCTTGTGCGGCACGCCGCCAGAAGCGAGCGTGGCGCCCTCGGACTTGCCGGCCTCAATGTATGAAAGCACGCGCTCGTACTGGGCCTTGGTGACCTGAGGGCCCTGGAAGGTGTCATCGGAGAAGGGGTCGCCGACCTTGCTGGTGGTGCGTACGACCTCCTTAAAGAGCTCAACGAACTTATCATATACAGAGTCGTGCACAAGGATCCGCGATGTCGCAGTGCAGACCTGACCTTGGTTGTACATGATACCAATGTGTGCCCACTTAGCGGCCTGCTCGAGATCCGCATCCTCGAAGACAACCAGTGGTGACTTGCCGCCAGTCTCGAGGGTGACGTTCTTCAGTGTGCCTGCGGCCATCTTCATGATCTCGCGGCCGGTGAGGGTGGAACCAGTGAAGGCGACCTTGTCGACGCCGGGGTGGTTAACCAACGCGCCACCAGCAACACGGCCGTGACCGTTCACAATGTTAATAACACCCGGGGGGAAACCAGCCTCCTTGATCAGACCGGCCAGGTACAAAATGCTAAGCGGGGTTTGCTCGGCGGGCTTGAGGACGATAGTGTTACCGCACGCAAGCGCAGGGCCCAGCTTCCATGCTGCCATTGCTAGAGGGAAGTTCCAAGGAATAATCTGACCAATTACACCAATAGGCTGACGGAGGGTATAGGCGAATTTGGCCGGGGTGGTGCCAATAGTCTGACCGTACACCTTGTCGGCCCAGCCGGCATAGTAGCGGAGAGTGTTGGTGACTTCGCCAAGATCGTCATTCAAAGAGACCTGGTACGGCTTGCCTAAAAGATATGTCAATTCCTACCTCGTCGATAGACAACCATCTCCCAGCTTACTCACCATTATCCCAAGTTTCAATGCTAGCCAGGGTCTCCTTGTGCTGCTCAATCAAGTCGGCCAACTTCAGCATCAAAACACCACGATCAGTGGCTGGCAGTAGCTTCCAGGAGGGATCCTTGAGAGCCTTGCGAGCGGCCTTAACAGCGATATCGATATCCTCCTCACCGGCAGCATATACTGACGTAATCTCAGTTTCATTACTGGAGATCCGGTCAGCTCCAAGTCCAAAGACAATTCAGAGGTACATACGAAGGGTTCACAGTAGCAAACTTCTCGCCAGACTTCGCGGCCACGAACTCATTGTTGATGAAGAGACCGATGGGCTGAGTGTAGCTGCGCCCATTCGGGGCAGTCAATTGCACGGAGATGTCAGACATGACGAAGGGGGAACTGTGAAATGGGCGACGCGGGGAAATGAATCGAGTAAGAGTTGATGGAGCTTTGTACAAACAGCGCAGGCGAATATGGAACATGGAGAGAAAGAGAGAGAGAGAGAGAGAGGGATAATATAGGAGGGGAAACTCTCCACTGGAAAGCAAGTTGACCTCGGGAGCTCCCCGCCTGATAAGCCGATAAAGATGCTCCACTTTCCGGATAGACTTACTCTTCCGAGTCAAGCTTGCTCCATTCTCTGCTTGTTTGGTTGATTTGCATTCTACTTCTTCTCTAGTTGGCCGTCCGAGAGATCTTTCCTTAGAGCCGTTCACTTCTGCTTGTCAATAGCCCGAGGTCCAATTTATTCTAACATTAGTTAGGGCTCCCGTCTCGGATGACTAAAGCACACCAGGGCTACAGGGCTGCAGGCCTGCAGGGACATACATGGTGTCAAACACACCGAATACTTCGTTGCCGCTAGCTTCCGGATGCCCAAGCCATGTTCCGTGACTCCTTGCATATCGCATGCATCGACCCGCAGGGTCCGACGGGGTTTCCAAGGCCGAGACCAATTCTCACACAGCTTTTCGGACGTGCAGCTAACGGTCGCATACATTGGAAACGCAGTAGACTAGGCGGTCCACTTAGCGCACATGTGCGAGAGCGGTCCGATGCAAATAACAGTGACAAGAGCGATGTGACACAATCCCGGTAGTGTCGTGCCGAAACCAGGGTGATGGTGTGGCGGTCACCGGGGACTGGTCGAGCTAGAAAGCAAGCCCATATGTCAATAAGATGGATGCGTTGCGAATGAGTTCGATGGTACCGAACTGCTTCGGTGAGTATATACCTTGCGCATATTCCTAGAGGACGCATCAAGTCAAATAAAATATGCTTCAATTCGCTTGTGTAGATAGCCCATGTTAAACCGGCAACGCCGTCGATAGAAAGAAATACTTGGGAGAATTATATGGAGTAGACTCTCTGTGCATGGCTTGCATGTAGCCGCTTGCTTTCTCATGCCTATTCCTCCTCATCACTGGAACTCCTCTTGCGGTTCCTCGCCTGCCAGCTCCAGGATGTATTTCCATTGTGCCGGGGTCACTGAAGACACGCTAAGCCGGGATTGCTTAATCATTTGAAGATTCTCGAGCGGCTTTCCGGTCTGGCCGTGGGACTTTAGATCCTGGAGGGTGACTTGCTTCTCAAGCCTGCGGCGGTATTCAACGTGGACGACAACCCACTTTGGGTCATCTCGTTTGGACTTCGGGTCGTAGTATGGGTGCTTAGAATCGAAAGCGGACTCTGTCATGAGTTATGGGTTAGCAATATGATCAAGTAGTGTAATTTCGAGGGCGACAAACCGTCAGTGGAATGCTCCTGGACAATCTCCATCACTCCAACAACCCCAGGGACTTTGCAGTTCGAGTGGTAGAAGAATGCAAAGTCACCCTTCTTCATTTCGCGCATAAGATTCTTGGCTAGTTCACTGTAAGTATAATCATTGTGGTTAAAGCTATCATGACTTTAGACAGGACAACCTACCAACATGGTTGCGCACACCTGTTCATCATTAGCACTCAGATCCTATATGCCGTATTCGAGACAGGTTAGACGTACCATCCCAAGGCTCGGGTGCATCTGCAGCAGCCAGGTCATCAATAGAGAACTTCACGTCCTTGCCCTTCTCTAGGCGAGATTCAGGTTCGGCCTTCATCAGCCAGAAAGAGCGGCCAGTTTCAGGGATGACGTTGACTGCAGGCGTGACCTTCGACTTGGTGGTTTCAGCTTCTCCGTTTGGGACAGGGTTCTTGCGGGGTCTTCCACGACCATCCTTCTTCTTGATCTTCGTGGTGGTAGGTGTCGCATCGCCTAGTAAAACAGCGCAACGGTCAGCATATACCGCCCGCAATATGTCAGTATATATGCCATACCTGAGTCCTTGCGGGGACGCCCACGGCCTCTCTTAGGGCCTGATGGAGCTACAACCTCAGGTTCTGGCTCGGAAACAATCTTCCGTGGGCGACCACGGCCACGCTTAGGGGTGTCAGAAGCAGGCTTGGGAGTCGCGTTCTCCGGGTATTTGCGCGGACGACCACGGCCTCTCTTTTCACCTGTCTGGGGTATAGCATCAACCTGTTCCATGTATGTCAGCGCTGTGTCAACGGTTGGAGTGGAGAAGTTATGGGACGCGACGATCAGCCCCTGCATAATGCACTTACCACCGAAGCCAATGCTGCAGAAGCTGGGGCTGCATCTACAGTATTTCGGAGCCGCTTGGAAGGTGTTGCGACAGACTCATTTTCGCTCACGGCGCGTTCAGACTTGCGCTTAGGTGGCATGACTATTCAATTGTTTTGCACTGGTTCAGTGACAGTGAAAGGCAGCAAATATATGCAGGGCGTGTAGGAAGTGCGGTAAATGAAGCAAAACTAAATCAGAACTGTACAATCAATAGCGTTCTGCTTCCGTGAACAGTTGAAGAAGCTATCAAATCGATTTAAGCCAGAGCTTCCTGGAATGTTTGGCACTGAGCTTGACGCGGATGTGGGTCTGGGGACGCACGTGATGGGGTCGATCATGATCGACACTACAAACCTTTCGGACGTATACAGCTATGGAGTACATGTAGGTAAATAACCTCGTAGAACATCTATGACTGTCATATCAAAATCCCTTTACTTAATACCAGCACTAATGATTACCAAATATTTGAGGCATAACTGGTATAATTGGGTCTGTCCGCTAGTTAGAGGTATCCAAATAATAGCGCCGTCTCCTTTACGCGGCTATAAATACTAACCCACTTGGTCAATGATGTTTCTTCAAGGAAAACAATTTGAAAATGATAGCATTGACCTTGTTTGAAAAATTACCTGTTGTTATTGAAAACAATCTCAAATTCTCCAAGGGAGAATGTGCTGCGCATATTATGATAGGCTAACGGGAGATATAGTCTACCGACTCTGAGTAGATGACTCGCACCGAAAATCCTGTCTGAAAGCAATCTCAATCTCGCCAATAGTAGCCAGTTATGGAGTCAAAAGAACATCCAAGATCATATAAGTGGGTAAAGATATGAAGATCTATTGGCCGGAGTTAACTCAAAATGTCTCAGAATAATCAAAATAGTGTTAATTAAGCTCATTATAGGTCCATTCGCATAGATGAGATTGTACCAGCCTGTTGTCAGTCTCCCGTTTAGGCGTCACGTCGAGTCAAGTCTTTTCCAATGAAAAAGCCTTTGGAATAATGTTCTGTGTCTATACGTGTCTATAGCTAGGTAGTGTGAGGGTAATATCAGACTTGGCGTCAGCTACACAGAATACGGACGTATTTTCAGATGATGTCTGTGGTGCATGCCAATAGCCCCACTGCACAGTTATATCTGTGGGGGTCAAATGCTCATCGAATTTAGCGTTGTCTAGAATGTTAGATTATCCTTTCGGAAAATCAGCCTGGAGAGAGCGGACAGATCTGCATAAGCTAACGTGCTAGCCCTGCATTGGCTTGATGTACAAGGCATATTGCACTAGCAATAGTGAGTTTGCGATGGCAGCTGATAGGCCATTCATCATGTGAAGGTTATATTGCGCCATCACTTTGGGTTTCCATTGGTGCTGATCAAAGTCATGTCAGCTAAATAAGCTTGAAAGTGGCTAGCTATGAAGGTCCCAAAATATAGCTTTAGCGCTATACCCGCTACCACACTCAACTTTAGAACTATCGACTTGATAAATTCTAATAGACTATTGAGAAACTCAGATAGATCCCATCATGAATCACGCCGTGAGAGGTAGTATGCACATATTGCTTCGCTCCTGGTTCATGATTGCTCGTTTATATCTCGAGGCTGGATAGAAGAGAGCGTCAACCCAACAACGTATACGTCCATGGATACGCCCCTCTCCATGCGTTTTGCTCGATAACAAGATGACAGGTTAAGCTGTATTTAAGCTGCTCTAGTCACGACAATAGCCAAGGTAAATATGTCCCAAATTAGACCCGCCCATGGGATGGTTCGATTTCAAGATCATGGAAAAGTCGTTTTGTAAGAATTGCGTCTCACCTTTTCCCATTTGAGTTTGCGGTTTTCATTGTAACGCCATTGGCTAGGTAGAACGAAAAGTGTATGAAAAATGGCAGAAAAAGATAAACAAGATATCGTAGTGTGTATGCTATATTGATAAAATAGCCTACCTACAATACAGAGCCACCTGTTGAACGTAGTGAGTAAGTCCTAACAGAAGATTGAGGGTAAGGTTGAGGGGTAAAAAGAAACCCAAAGACCTTGGGAACCAGAAATGCTCATCCACAGTTGATATTGCATCACGCACGCTAAACAGCCCACGTTGTGTGCCGCTATACATTCGCCAATCATGGACGTTCTGCCGGGCGGAGGCAATGATCACGCCATCAAGAACGAATGCCAAGTGGGGCAGGAACCAGCCTGATGAGGTTAAGTGGGGTCAATCTATGGATGATGAAATCGATGCATGGGAAAGCCGAGGGGATTCCATGGTCCCAATCATCATCTTATTAACCTTGTATCCCGCTATCTTATTCTCCTTTTCCTCTCTCCTTCTCACCTACAATATACCTCTCTACCTATCTAACTATTCACAATGGCTGACCGCGCTCCTCCGTAAGCTCATAACTCTCTCTTCGAGGTATCTACGCAATACTGATTGTCTGTTAGCCTCCGTCTTGGCTCTATTGCCCCCAACTTCAAGGCCCAGACCACCAACGCGGGCGATATCGACTTCCACGAGTGGATTGGTGACAAGTGGGCTATTCTCTTCTCACACCCTGCGGATTTTACACCAGTGTGAGTTGTTTCCAGCCTCGCTTTAACTCTACGAAGCCCCTTGCTGATACTCAGTAGCTGTACCACTGAGCTCGGCGCCTTCGCCAAGCTCAAGCCCGAGTTCGACAAGCGTGGTGTCCAGTTGATCGGATTGGTGAGTCGCTGTATGGACAAACCTTAACCCTTAGCTAATTCACCTGGCTTTCAAGAGTGCCAACGGACTTGAATCCCACGAAGAGTGGATCAAGGATATCAACGAAGTCAACCAGACTAAACTCGACTTCCCAATTATCGCCGATGCCGACCGCAAAATCGCTTATCTCTATGATATGATAGATTTCCAGGATCTCGAAAACGTGGACAGCAAGGGCATCGCCTTCACCATCCGCTCCGTCTTTATCATCGACCCTGCCAAGAAGATCCGCCTGATCATGTCCTACCCCGCCTCCACTGGCCGTAACACAGCAGAGGTTCTCCGGGTTGTCGACTCTCTCCAGACGGGTGATAAGAGAGGTGTAACCACCCCAATCAACTGGCTGGTATGATCCCCTTCTTCAGAATTCCCTGAAACCATGCGAAGTATTTTACTGACTCGATCGAAGGCGGGTGACGACGTTATTGTGCCACCAACAGTTAGCAACGAGGCTGCTAAGGAGAAGTTCGGCGAGTTCCGTGAAGTGAAGCCGTGAGTTTCCGTGTCTATCTAACTGTCATTTGAAACAGAGCATACTAACATGTTATAGTTACCTTCGCTTCACCACTCTTAAGGAGTAAACAGGGTCCTAAGATGTGATGCTGGAAAGGTAAAATGGGTTCTAAATCTTGGGTCATAATTTCCTCCCAAAATTAACGAAATCTACTCACGCTATCCCTTTTAACCATGTGCTCCTGTAGGAAGCCGTTGAGAAACCACGTGATCTATGTCTGTTTGCTCATATTATCTAGTCGTAGATCGATCCTAGGATAGTTCCTTCTTTCTCCAATGTACTGAGATATTTTAAGACTGCCTGTACTGATAGTTCCAGATCTATCTCCCCTCAAGAGCTTCTTTGGAATGGCACTATGTCATGGAGCGTCCGTAGTATATCACAGTGCTACAATCTGTAATTATTTGCTTGGAGGAATATATAAGTCGAGGTTCTGATTGAATCAAATCAGTTGTGATTCAGACCATTAAAGCGGTCATTACATACATGGTTCCATCGAACTCACTATATAACCTTAGGTGCAACGATGCCAATAGAGGGAGCGGGAGCAGAAGAAATTGAGAGGAACGAAGAAGACACAAGAACCGGGTTCTAAGGCAAATACATCGGCAGTGCTGTTCGGGAATTTATGCGGACCATTTGACTGACTATGATTGATGAATATTCCCACTTTATCTCAAACAATGTCTATATCACCTCATATCCACCGCTTACGTGCAGTCTTCCTCGGCCTGTATCCGAAACTACCGTCACCCATACATAGTCGATCTTCAGAAAACTACTGCCTAGTCGCGTTATGAAGTTTGTTTTTGTTGTTCTCGATTTCAGCGTCAGGTGAGCCATTGTAGAATACCGCAAGTCTCCAGGAAATGTTCTCGGTTGGGTCCCAAAATAGGTGTATCTGATCTGACCTAGCCCGCTATCCTGGTCTATTTTGTTCTCTTGGATTCGACGCACTTAACCGTGGCTTCGTACGATCAGTCAGAAAGTAATTATATCAAGGTTTGGATTGCTAGCATGATCTACAATGCATATAAGTAAACCTGAATGAGACCAATAGTACTAGTGTGAGGGAACTAAAAGGCTCGTGGTACTCCAATAGGACCGAAGTCCTATGGACGTGAACAGAAATCTTGTTAGTCCGCTAGGATTGCTCTAAGTACAGGCGGAGGTCAAATAGACATGTAACAGGTGGTCGCAGAAGTTACGGGGTATATTGTAGCTGTGTCACGACAGCTTCATGTCCGTTCTTTGCTGCCCACCATACCGCGTCCGTCCACGATTATCCTTCGCGTTCGGATCGACCTTTTTAGTCCGGAGGAGCTGCATAGCAATATCTTCATGCCCCTTCTGTGCCGCTAAGGATAGCGGCGTCCATCCACTCTTGTCCTTCGCGTCCGGCTTAGCATCTTTATTCTGGAGGAGCTGTGGGACAATAGCTTTATGTCCGTTATATGCAGCCCACGATAGCGGCGTCTGTCCCACCCGGTTCTCCACGTCCAGGTCGATATTTTCAGCCTGGGGGAGCTGTGTGACAACGGCTTCACACCCGTTCTGTGCCGCCCACGATAGCGGCGTCCGTCCATCATCGTCTGTATTGTCGGGGGAAACACGGTCGTCTGTTAACAGCTCAGTCACTATATGAGACCCTGCTTCTGACGCATATGGTAAGGGCGTCCTGTGTGTAGTGTCCTCCGCGTTTGGGAAACTTCCCCCATCAATTAATTCTCTCACGACTTCGATATGCCCTCTTTGTGCTGCGTATGATAGTGGCGTTCTACCTCTTTCGTCTCGGAAGTCTGGTTTGCTTATCAATTGGAGTAACGCAAGTACCACCTGGGCCCATCCATACTTCGCCGCCGCATGAAGGGCTTTCCCTCTCTGTTCATTGTCCATCTTGAGAAGTAGTGCCGAGGTCAAGTCGCCTGTTTCCATCGCGGCTAGAATATCGGCGCTACTGGCTTCAGGTTGTGCAATTCGATCCAAAATATGAACTTAGCGATCAATGACTTTGTTTATAGATTGGCTAGACGTCTGTTCCTAGAAGCTAGGAGATCCTTTTCTTGCTAAATGCACTTGTTCTCTCATCCACTAAAGCCCACCAATATAATTCGCCTAGGGCAGATGTCTCGCTTGCTCGACAAGTACGTCTTCCGAATCCGGCACGTGGTCCTCGCCTTCGATTGTGTTTGCATAGGAAGTTTGGGATTGAGTGTAGATCGTCCATGCCCATCGTAGCACCCTTTCTGCTTTCCTCCAGTCCTTGCCTCGTTGCTAATTTGCGCTTTTTCTTGCTGCTGCCAAAGCACTTTCAGCTAAGGGCGTCTTGAGTCGAGGTATCAATAGAGGTATAACACAAAGAAGAGCCTCAAATCCTGAGCCCAATTGCATCTTAGTGAATAGCCTAACAATCATCTCGGTCATAAGGCTATTCGAGAGTCGGATGGTTTCGGCTTCTTGAATATCAACGGATCCAACGTCGTCCACAGCATTAAGAATGCTCGCCAAGAATAGTGTAAATACTTCTTGGGCACACGGTGAGAGAAGCGCTGCTTTAATCGGAGCGGACAAAACGCTGCATACATTATAGTCTTGACTCTGTGACAACTGCGCAAATTTCCTACCAAAGAAGCGAAACTGTGGTTGGGTGGGCTGCGCACCTGACGGATACTTTCTGATGGGTGTCACATTCTTTGGCTCTGTTCCATATAGTACTCGCGTCTCTAATGTCAATAGGCATAGCGCAAGGAGAGTATTCCTTGTGCGTGATATTGTGGATGTCATCCCATATGTCTAAGTCTGATTTTATGGCTGGATCTGTTGGAACGATCCGTCGTGCCTAGATATCACCAGTTATGGATGTCTTTAGACCAGTCACCCTGTATATAACTTCTACTGCTGGATCAGACTTCAACGACCAAACCCACAGCCCTAGGATTCCCTCTAGCTGTAGGTGATTTTTGGGTATCTAAGGGCTATTTGAATTCTCCGTATCCTAACGAGCAAATTATAGGTTAACTATGCACTTGTCCGAAGGGTTATCGTTTTGGTAGTTGAGAGTGCAAGTAACGCCCCCAATTGCCCAGAAAACAGTACGCCGTTGTTTCTTGATTCCGATGTTGACAGAGAGATTTGGAGCAAATTCCGTCTTCGGAGCCAATCTCATAAAGGGAGTCTCCGGCTCTTCTGTATCACGGTCCGAATCGGGGAGTACCTCTGGGTCATTCTGCTTCTTGTTTGCCTTTATTGCCATTTCCTTGTGCTACGGAAATGTGTGTTTTAGCTTCTCCTTTGTTTTTATTGACTTACTCTTGCGCCACAGATCCCTGCCTTTCCCTCTGACTCCAACATATTCTTGAAACGTGTATATGCCCGCTGCGGCTGAAATTATAGTCAGGGTCGTGAACAATCTCTAGAATCTTTGGACGGCCGAAGACGCGCGTAATGCCACCTCTGTTATAGAGCTCACACATCCCGGGTCGTAGAGGAGCACAGCTCAGCCTCTGCATTTCCCTCTCCCTCTTGGGCTCTGCCTATGAAGGTGCGTAGCGACGGTGTCCCACACACGCGAATTGCAGAGACGACCCCATGTAAGGATACCTATTGGCGTCATTGCGAAGATGAAATAATAGAGCTCTGTGAGGCTCTCACTGAGCTACTGCTTCGTTATCTGTTCGCCAAAGAGGGATAGAAATGGCGCGAGATCGGCTGCGAGATTGCTGGAAAAGTCGTCCCAGCCGTCCGCGCGGACTAGTGGAAGGCCGACGAGGAATATAAAAAGCGTATTTGCGACATCCCTAATAGATTCTTATACAGATTATCACCGGCGAGCTTTTGAACAGAGCTCATTCAGCCATGTCAGAAAAAGCAAAGGGGCTCAAAAGTTGCGCATGCCAAAAGTAACTAGGGCGCATGAAATGCGAAAAGAGGTTTCGGCATCTGTTGAGACATAACGATGCCTGACATGTCCGCAATACGCACGGCAAAACATAATACGGATGTAAATGTTGTTCTAGCTGATGCGTAAAGTTGAACCGATGGATCATTTTGGACTAAATCCTGTTGTTCGGTTTTGTGGGCTTTACTATGTAGCGAGAAGAAATTGGGGGCAGCATCGACGTCTCCAGCGGTATTACCCCTAATGGCGACTCAGGGTCCGAGACATCGCATGGCACGATCCATATTCCGCCATATTAGTATATGTCAGACTGGGATATGGCCTGCTAGGCCCGAGACAGGAACCTTCGCTTTTGTTAGGGCCTAGTGGTAAAATTGGCACAATTTGACGCCTAGGAGCCTCTGGGTACCAGGTAGCTGCTGCCTTTTTGATATAAAGTCGTGCACCTTCCTTGGTTCCTCCGTTCTCTCCCATTTCCCTTTTCCTCCCTTCTCCCTTCTCTCTCCTCTATCCTCTCCGTTAAGTATCATCAGATTGCCAACGCAATCCAATCAAAGAACAGATCATATACTCCGCGATGGCACAGCGTGCTCAAGAGTCGAAGTTCCCAGCGCAGTCGAGCAGTCTTTGATGAGATCCCAAACTTCCAGGAGTCTGCTGAGGCACGCGAAATTCGTTGCGGGTTAGTACTGCACGGTCGGGAAGCCCTGCAACGCAGCGGAGACGCGGTCGTACGCAGTCGTTGTGAAAGGCCCTGGGAAGAGTGGAAGGCCAAGAGGGGAAACAATTTGCACTAAGTTTTCCAGCGTTGCAATGCTACCTCTGGCAAAGAAAGAGGAATCCAGAGAGGAGCCTCTCCTAGATCAGGGCTCCGTCATAAGTCGACTTTATCGGAAGGTACTTCAGAATGCGGACGAACTCGAAGCCACTTCTTCCTCAGGGCAAGAAGAAAAAGCTCAGTAATAAACCCGGAAACTCTGGCAACCGCGACATTCTCCCGGTCAGACAATTATTTGGTACGTGATCGATGTGATTGGTGGTTCATTTGTTTATTCCCCTTCGGCCTCGCTCTCTGACTCTCTTGCGATGCTTCCAAGGCTGCTATTTTATTGTACATGGATTTAGCTCCGTTACATCCCGCCTTCGCTAGCTTTCCCATTTTTGCTTCGCAGCATGCTAAGAGCTCCGGAAACGGAGGGTATTTACATCAATACCTCTGTCCTTTACCCTCACGTCCAAACCTACCAGTCTGTCTCCATTGGCCTTGTTTCCATATTCCAATGGAAGCGAATTGCATGCAGCTGTCACCTGTTTATGCCTATACACCCAGTTGCAATTCACTGTTTTCGTCTGTTTATTGACAAGTAAATTAAATAGATGATGCCCCCCCAAGGAGCAAGCAGAGGTCATGGACCTCGACCAGCACGGTATGTACATCTATACGTCCTCCCGCCTCATTCCTAAAGCTTATGACTCGTTTGCCCTGCGACAGCCGTCATACACCTCGCGCGCCACAGCCTTGCTTCTATGATCAATAGACCAACCATAAATTCAATCTTATAGTGTCCCAAGAGGCCAACCAGTAGTTTCGGGCATCCCAGCTCAGGTCACATTCACAAACGCTGCATCAGAGGATATTTCGCTCCGAAACCCCGTCCTGCTCCATTGTCATTTTCTTATGGCAAAATACCTGATGCATTAGGAATGGGAGAGACTGTTGAGAATTTCATGCGCGAATGGGATGGTCTAAAGCAAGGGCCGGGATGCTATACCCTAAGGGAAGACGGAAAACCCGACGTCGAGCCGTTCTTGTCTGCCAGTCTGTGGGACTCTATGAAAGGATAATTTTATGTTGCATTCTTCAACTAACCGCCTACAATATTATACAATTAAACACACACATCTTATTCGTGTTCAGCCTGTGACCAAGGCCTCGTTTAAACCACAGTGTTTACGTGTATTTCTTCGCTGTTTCTTTTTTAGATGTTTCGATTTGATTTTCGTTCACGGATCATCGACAGGTTGTGGATGAGCTAGTTGACCAGGTTAGTCGAGGATGCTAGCAAGAAGTTCGAGATAAAGTGAAGGCGTCAGTTTCTTTCCCCTGCGGATATGAAACAGAGAATACTGACATGTTACAGTTGTCTTCGGTTCGCCATTCTCAAGCAGTAAAAAAGAATTACCTCAACGAATGCCAAGGTACTCTGGGAAGTCACCAGAAGTCGGAGCAAATGGCTCATTTCCCGAAGACTAGCTGGTAACATCCTTAAATTTCATAGTATGAGACATGCCTTTTGGCGAACAAAATGTACACAAGTACATATATAGATATGTAGATATCTATTGCGAGAGGTCTAAAATGGAAGATAGACAAAGATAAAGCAACTTCATAGGAATTAGACCCAAACTCGTATGTTATATATTGAAGCGCATTTCTTTAATTACAAGTGGTCGGGATTGCAGGATCCTCTGTTTAATGCTATAAACAAAACCAAGAATTTTCCCATTCAAACAAGAGATATAAGATTCAATAATGATTGAAGGCTGTACCGATTAGATTGAAGGGGCCACATGTATTGAAAGGGGAAAAGCGGTAAACATTTTTTGTGCCGATCTCCAAACTCGACAGCTGACACTTCGGATCAGGACTGTGCGCTCATCCAAGATACGATCGGCAGTACTCTGCACTGTCTAGTTTCGTTTCATCAATCTCCCCATCGTGAAGCCTGGCGCCGAAGTTGCGGCATCGCGGGGAACCACCCCCTTTTTCCGGCTCCCCACAACGTGCCCTTTCGAGCCATATCGGACACCTACGATCAACGCCGGGAATATTCTCCGAGAATAACGCATTCGAGAGAAAAACGCATCATCGCATGCGAGCCATACTAGGTAGACTAAAGTAGGAGTCAACTGCTACCCACACGATTATCTCCGTTAGAAGCGGACAGGAATTCCGCCCACCATGATGTCGCGAAGTCAGTCGAGTCTGGGCTATATGGATTCAGGGCGAGAGGATTCTGCGTCGGGGGGCTCTCCG